CTCGCTCTGCGCATTTGCATGGGTTCACGGCGCTGGATCCATGCGCAGGAAATCAGCCCTGGGGACATTTCCTTCATGGAGCCCGCCGAAGAACCAGTCATGGGCTCGAGCAGCGCCTCGCATGGGACCATGGAGTTCGAGGGAACTGGCGATTTGCCGAAGTGCTTCTGTGAGGCGAGGCACGTTGACACCTTTTCACGCGCACGGGTGGTGAATTTCATCAAGCGCTTCTCACAGGGGGCGGTGGCGAGCAGTAATGATGTTTTCCAAGCCCGGGAAGTGGACCACGATGATGGCTCTTCGATGTATCATTGCCGAGTGCGGTTGCCGTTTGAGAGTCACTTGGGCGAGCTGTGGGCTCACGGTGTCGCGTGCAATAGCAAGGACGCGGAGATGCTTGCCGCGATGCACGCCGAATACATCATTGATGAGTTTGGTTACCACATCTACACACTTCCCTCGATGCAGCGCAAGCACGCAGAGGCAGCGCGCAAGGCGGGACGATGGGCGCCGTTGCCTGACGACGTTGACAGGGCAAAGGCGAATGTCCGTATCCCATTGCCGCTTCGCCGCATCGTGGATCGCGATGAGACGGAGGGTGGTAAGTGGTTATTGCTTGATCTGCGACCAAACCACTACATGGCACCGTTTCACACACTACTCTCGCCATGTTTATTTGATCCTGCTGCCGTTCATCGCATAAAATCTCTCTTTGAGGAGCACAAATTGTCGTTTGCGCAGTTGTGTACTTCGCTGGTGGAAGAACCGCTGGAGAAGAACGGTCAGACGTATTATGTCGCCACAGTTGTTCTGCCTGTGGAGCTGACGACTTTTAACGAAATCAAGGCGCAGGGAAAAGCATTGACGCGCGAGGCAGCAGTAACACTCGCTTGCATGCATGCCGAATTGGCACTAGACGTTCATTCCATTTGTTTATTCCCTTCGGACCCTGTACGACAGAAACAGCATGCTCTAGCGGCGTGGAGTTACGGGCGTCCCGCACCTCTTCCTGGTGAAGATCATAAGGACCCCTCGCGTGTTATCTGTCCTCTTCCTCTTAAGGAACTTGCCGTGAAGCGTGAGGATCGTGTCTCTTGTATGAGTTACGAAGAGGACCTTGTCCGACGTCACCGGGCGCTGACAGAGCAGACATGCGAGCTCATTGAAACCTCTATCCTCGATCATGAAGCAACAGAGAAGCTGAAGGGATTTCTTAAACGGGAGAAGGTGCCGAGGACAGACCCATTCTTTGTTGAAGAAGTGCAGGGGTATTACAAGGCAACAGTTGTGCTTCCACTCCCTGACTTGTTTGGTGTCCGGGGAGGTGTAGGCATTGCCATGAACGCCGCCGACGCCGTTGTATTGGCTGCAATGCATGCCATCGATGTTATCAATCTACTTGGCTTCCATGTTATGGACGAGGATGGAGTTCGAAGCAACTGGATTGCATCCCGCGTAAGCCGTGGTGAATCCACTCCGGCTGCAAAACCGGATCCTTGTCTGACAAGTCCTCCAGGTAGGCGAAGGCTCGGTGCGACCAGCTCTTCCGCCACAATGAATAGTGGCAGCAACAATAACGACATTAGCAACAGTCCAACTGCTGTAGTACAAGAATCAGAAGCGGTACAAGCACCAAAGCGACGAGTGGTAAAGAGAGCGCGAGCTACTGGTAGTGTTGATGCTGTGGGGAAAAAGAATGATGCATCTGGGGCAGGTTCTGAAGCAGAATATCTAAAGGTGCGAGAGACTGTGTCTAAGGAGTTGTGGGACCTTCAGCCTGATAGTCCTGATGGCTACATCATGGTAGCACCGACAGACCCAGAGACACGCACTCAATACGAGCACGCACTGTACTCGCCTCGTCAGATTGACCCCTTTGCCAAGGTTCGAATTAAAGGTTATCTTGCATCCCTAGGGAGGCGAGCTGAAGAAGCATTCTTTGTGCAGCGAATTGAAGCCGAAGACAATGGTGGGCAACAGATATGTCGTTGTGCATTGAATTTACCCGTGCCACGACAGTTTGGGGATCGCATAGCGCTTGGAGAAGCAGTCGATCCTAAAGATGCAGAAAATCTCGCGGCTATGCACGCAGAGTTAATTCTTGATACACTTGGCATCCCTGTCTACGCGGATCCTGTTCTGCAGCGGTACCATGCTGATGTGTGTGCGAAGAGTGGTCGCTACGCGCCGGCGGATGGTGCAAGTAAAATTCCCCCCACAACGCCGTCGCCAGCACCCCTTCGCCGTGAGGTGGTAGGGTCTATTCATTGGGAAAACCAAACGAAAAAAAAGCGAAGTTCCATTGTAGTTTCCAAGGCGAGAACAGCAAAGGACACACAGAGTACGGCGACAACCACTCTGGACGAAGAAAAAGAGCCCGAAGCGGCCCCAAAGGAAAGACGAAACTACACATTTGTAGCGGAAAAGGAATTGGATCTTTTGTGTCGTCCACGTGTGCAGTACTATCTGCGCCGTAAAGGCGTTATGAAACTTGAGGCAGAATTCCGCATGGAGTTACGTGGGCTGGGAAATGTGTTGCACGTTGCGGAGTTTGCAGTTCCTGTCCCAGCTGAATTTGGTAAACGTGTTGCACACGGTTCAGCATTGACCAAGCGTGACGCAGAGATTCTGTGCTGGATGCACGCTGAGCAAATAATTGACACGCTGGGATTGTGTCTTTTTGACAACCTTCCTGGGCTTCAGAATCGACATGTCGAACGAGTGCGTTGCCTCGGCAGGTGGGCACCGCAGCATGGTGAAAATGCTGTGAAGCCACACGGCACACCCTCGCCGCTGCCGCTGACGCTTGGGACGGCTCCAGAGAAGCCGCCGTTCCCAACTGTGCCGTCGAACCTCCTTCAAGGATGGGACAAGTATATAGAGGAGTGCAGACGTTTCATTGAAGTGAATAGGGCTCGGGAGGACAACATATACTACGAGATGGAGAAAAATCCCCGCACAGGTGATGAGGTGTATGACGCCGCGCTGGAAGAGGTGGAGTCGGCCCCTGTCGATGTGGACGCTAAGCAAACCTTGCAGCGGTACTGCAATGCTACCAACATTGTATATCCCGTCTTTTGGAAGTCACGAATGGTTGGTCCTGTTTCTTGCCGAGTTTGTCTGACGACTGTGGAAGTCCCTAGCTATCCGCACATTGTCGCGAGTGGTGTAGCAGCCAACAAAGAGGCATCGCAACGTCGTGCAGCGATGCATACCCTCGCTTTGCTGCGACGCATCGATCCTGACTTCCATGAGATTGAAAAGCAACTCAAGGCTGAAACAATGGAGAATGTTTCTCTAGTCAATCCATTATCTCTGATTGATGATGATGTGGCACCGGTTAAACGCACGCCAAAGGCGAACAAGAAGCGTCTGGGCAGCTGGGACCCTGTCGCAAAGGACTTCTCTCATGAGGGAAAGGTGCGTATCATTGAGCTATTTACTGTCTGTTTTGGACTGTCGCCGCCGCGTGTGCGCCACCTCAACCGCCGTGAAGGGGCACTTGTGCACCATGTCACCACCGTCGAGGTGACGGACGAGGATGGGAAGCTGTGGATCGGGGAGGGCTACGATGCCGGGCCTCGTTTTAATGAGCCGGCTGCCTACGAAAGCCTCTTCTCAAAACTGTCGCGTGGTGTCCCTGGTTTTCAGGCACTGATGGACCTCATCCGCAATCATCGTCACCTTGACCCCGAACACATCGCTAACGTGACACTTACAGAGGCGCAGAAGGAAAGAATTCACCGCGTGCTGGATGGTTTGCCTGATATTGAGGAGGAGGAGGTCGCAACACCACAGCAGTGGTCGGATGCAGAAGGCGAAGTAATTGGTCTCTTATCACGTGTTGCTATGGATGCATCGCAGCGCGCGCAAGAATCACAAGATCTTCTGGAGAAGTTACAAAATAAACTTACGGATGAAGAGTATCTATCCAAGTATGCTGCACAGAGACAGCGACTGAGCATATATGGTAAGCGAGAGGACATTTTAAATGCCATTGAAAAGAACCAGATTGTGGTTATCTGTGGTACAACAGGGTGTGGTAAGACTACTCAGATACCGCAGTACATACTGGATCGAATGACGGAAAAGGGTGAGGGTGGTGATTGCTCAATCGTCATTACGCAACCTCGCCGGTTGAGTGCCGTCTCCATTGCGCAGCGTGTGGCCGCTGAAAGGTTGGAACGTATTGCTGAAACGTGCGGCTACGCAATTCGTTTAGACAGTAAACCAGGGCGTAACATCAACTTCTGCACATCTGGCATCCTCCTCCGCATGCTGCATACGACCCCTCTCTTGAATGGGATAAACTATCTCATTATTGATGAAATTCATGAACGGGACATCAACTCTGACTTTTTGCTCATCCTTTTACGTCAGCTGCTGCGCCGTCGGAAAGACCTTCATGTCATCTTGATGAGTGCTACATTACAGGCGGAGCAGTTCGGCAAGTATTTTGACGGGGCACCTATTATCAATGTGGAGGGATACGTGCACCCTGTTCAAGAGTTGTACGTGGAGGATCTGGTTCCGATTGCCGCGGAGCAAAAAGTTATGCCACCCCTGTTGAAGGAGGCAGCAGCCACACTCGATAAAGAAGGAAACAGTGCTGATGGTGTTTCCGCGTCTGCGGCTTCGAATTTGGACAACATCGCCCCGATGGCCACTGCCAAGTACGGCTTTCTGGAGGCCACATCGGAGATTGATTATATGACTATCCAGTTTGCTATTGATCATGCTGTTCGTTCCCTCGACTTAAGAAACTCCTCTATTTTGGTGTTTCTTCCCGGGTGGGACGAAATCACTAAGGCGAAGGAGATACTTGAGCGCAACCCGAAGTTTCACATTATATGCTTACACTCTTCGGTTGGTACAGAGGAGCAGACGCGGTGCTTTTTGCCAGCCCCCGAAGGAAAGGTTAAACTGATTCTCTCCACAAACATCGCCGAAAGTGGCGTGACGATCGACGATGTGGCTGCAGTCATAGATGTTGGGCGGGCAAAGGAAAAGTCGTATGTGATGCGGAAAGGAACCACATCTGTTGGTCGTAATGAAATGAGTTCCATGTCTCAACTTGTAACGGTGTATGCCAGTCGCGCAAACTGTGTACAGCGTCGTGGTCGTGCGGGGCGTACAAGGCCCGGCATGTGCATACGTCTTTACTCGAAGAAACACTTCCATACTGTGCACGATTTTCAAACCCCTGAGATGCTTCGCACTCACCTTGATGCTCTGTGTCTGCAGATCCTTGCACTTGGTCTGGGAGATCCGGCAGAGTTCTTGCAGCAGGCTATCGAACCACCCTCTCCAGACCATATTGAGGCGGCTATGTTGCGTCTACAGGAGCTTGGGGCGACGACATCAAGGCGCCAACTGACACCTCTCGGACTGCGGCTTTCTCGCCTGCCTGTGGCGCCGAAGGTGGGCAAGATGGTCATCATGGGAGCAATCCTCAAGTGCCTGGATTCGGCATTGACCATTGCTGCTGTGACTGACACGGATGTCTTCATGAGCGCGCGCGAGCACCGAGAGGCCGTACGTCTGCACAAGGAGGATCTCTCACGGAACACACAGTCGGATGTGATTGCTTCAGTGAATGCCTTCAACTTCTGGGTGGTTGCACACCACGAGAAGTCACCAGCGGAAGTTGTGTATGACCTCCAGGAGCGAATGCTGAGTGTTCCCCAGCTGCTAACTGTGTCAAAGTATAAGCGGCAGTTCTTTGAAATTATTATGAACAGTGGATTCCTCGGCGCCGGCGTTGGTGTTCGACGTGAAAAGGATGCCTCGCGTGCGGACATTTTCGTTGAACAATCTGATTGTTCCGCTGATGCGCTCAATGTTGGTTTAGTGAAGTGCGTCATTGCATCTGGTCTATTCCCGAATGTTGTCATGAACAGAGGCAAGCGGCTAATGCGCAACAAGCTCGCGGATCGACTGACTCCATCCTCGGTCTCTGTAGTGCATCACACCTCTCAGGAGGACATTACACACCCTTTTTTTGTTTATGATGAGTTAGCGAAGTTGTCGGACTCGGACCGTTTGCATGTGCGTGGCCTCACAAATGTGCCGTTGTGGACGATTCTCCTTATGGGCACCAGTAGCATGCCTGTTACGTACCGCGATGACCTGAACCTCGCTGTGGTAGATGAGTGGATTATGTTTCGTGCCACATTTGGCACACTGGAGCTGATTCGCAAGTTCAAACGTGCCCTAAACGTTTGCCTTAGCCGCAAGTTCACCGATCCAGATAACAAAGAAAACAACGAGAAGCTGGAAGAGTTGCGCTGCGTCATTAAGGAGCTTGTGAGCACTCCGTTCAAGCCAAATGATTTGTCCGAGAAGGTTTGGGAAGAGAAAGGTGTCATGATTGAGCCACGGACCCAGGCAAAGGAGGAGCCAGCACCAAAACAGGAGGCGTCGGTCACAACGAGGGACGAAACAGCAGCAACAAGAGAGACAGAAGTGGAATAAAGCCCAAAAAATGTCGAACTGACGGATGCCTCGTCTAGCCATTCATTCACTTATTCAGTGTTGTTGTAGTTGATGTATAGTTTTCCATACTCCCCCCACTCACCCATGGTTTTCACCCATCAACCACCACTACTACTACTAGTAGTACGGCGGCGGCGTTTGTGGGTATACTTTTGGAGTTGAGGGAGGGATGAAGCGAGGAAAGCATGTGCAGAAACAGGAACACCAAGACATCACAGATACATCTATGCTAAGGAAAGAAAAGGGGGAAACATTAAATTTTCTTCTTTGTGTCTTTTTTTTGTCTCTCATCATGTTACTTTTTTTGGGGGGGTTTCTTCTAATAATTGCGCTAGATCCCCCAGCTTCTTCCTCATCTGTTCTCTCCCCCCCGCTCTCATTGATACGTCTTTTGGTGCGATCTCGTTGAATTTGAGAGAGTCACTTCGGATAGTAGGCTTTGGTCATGGCGGTCGGCGTCTCCGCCGACAGCGAGTGCTACCTTGGCAGCATCTTCCACTCGCTCGAGCACCTGCCGCAGTGGTATCAAGTCATCGCCTTACTCGGTATCTTCTTTCTCTTCCCCCTTCGCGAGATTGCGGTGATCAGCTGGCTTGCGGCCTCTCTGCACAACTCCTTTGGTACAGAGATGGTGTGGTCAGACGAATATCAGCGGCTTCTTGAGCAAATGTCCTTCAACGAGCGACTCTGCTTCACACTCTACGGGGTCGCATTGTCCGTTTTGGCATTCGCAGCGTACAGCGTATTTGGTCGCGACGCTATCTACATTGGTATAGAGGAGTCTGGTCTCTCCGGGGGGCGCAAATGGTGGCCGGTCGTCATTGTCTGCGCGGTGCTCGGCTGTGAGGGAATGGTAATACTGAAAGAGGAGGTGGCTAGCACGCTTTCCGACACCACGTCACTTGCTTATCTCGCCGTGGCGGGATTTCAAGGCATCGAGAAAGCAAATTTTGATCCCCGCTTGGCGAACAGCAATATTCACTTTATTATTCAGCTTGAAATTCTGAAAGCACTTCTTGTATCATTCCTGGAGCGTGTGGTGCCGGCCGTTATTCTCGCCTGTGGTTACCGTCTACTGCGCGATGTTCCGCGAAAGGCCCATGCAGCCCTTCGATGGTATATTATCACAGTCATGCTGTCACGCTCGCTAATTGCATTATATGTCATGTTTCGGAATGATGAATGGGAGCGGCAGAGCTCGTGGATTCTTTTTGCCTCATCACTATCGTTTTTGGGTGTGGTCAATTACGTCTTTGGACCCTCTAAGCGTGGCGGGTGGACAGCGGCAACCTCTGTTGTCTCGTCAATTCATCAAACAATTCAGGGTATTGTCAAGTGTACTGCGATTTTTTTTGTTATTTACCTCTCGGTCCTGGCGATAGTGGTGAGTGTTCACGTTGTGGAACTGCTTCTTATTTGGCTCATCTTCTTTTTGACAACGGTTTGGATCCCGGCTATCATTGACTCCTGCTCGATGGACTACGCCGTATGCATTGCGACTGCAATCAGTTTTGTGGCTCGCCAAATGGACTACCTAACGGATTGGGGATCTGTTCGGCTCTGGGGTCTCATCTGCCTGTGTTGGCTTGACGTGTGCCTCTTTTACAATTTAGCCACTAACGCATGTCAATCCCGCTACGGTGGGATTGTCGCTGTCTCCATGTTAATGGCAGGGTTTTGGCGCATCACAGGGCGAGGCGTGGGCACGGGTGACTTCGTCACATTTCTTGAAACTAACGCGGCGGCATTGCGAGAGATTGTGGAGGAGGCACCGCCTCAAGGAGATGATACGTTATCTGACCGCAATGCAATGATGGCTTTATTCACATCACTGATTCAGTATGGGCTTGCTGTGGGATTGTTTCTTATTGCCTGTATAGCTCTTATGAGTGTTTGCGAGTCTCGGGATGTTCGTGCGCGTCTACATGGTTATAATATTGTGATTCTGACCCCTGGAGTGCTTTTTAGGAAGTTTGTAAAAACGTTCATTTTCGGTGTCTGTTCCACGATATTCATGGTGACGGGTTTGGCGCTTTATCGTCTTCTGCCACAACTTGCAATGTTCGCGCCAGATTTCTTTACACTTGGTATGGCTATTGGTCTGGCATGCACTATACTTGGTGGCCTTATGGATATGCAGGAGTTTCTCTACGTTGGGCTCATGCGTCTGCTTGGTGTGATGGATCCACCTGCAGTAAATGACGAAGAAAAGGAGATTGAAAAGAGTTCATTCATTGGGTCGAGTCAATCATCTATCACGAGACGCTATGCCACAGGGCGCTAGTTGTGTACAATGGATGATCTGGAATCTCTGCGGCTGGGGTTGGGGATAGTGTTTTTCGCTGTGTTTTGGGCGTAGTACAGTGGTGGTCCTGGTGTAAACATATCTGCCTTGCTTTGTTTCTCATTTTTGGGGGAGGAGGGATGCAGTAATGGCGGCAGACCTTGAGTTGCATGAGACTCCGTATGGGGTTCAGTCAAGGACAGAGAAGATGCATCAAGCATCACCAAGGGCCAAAGCCCTTGAAGAGTACATGCGTTCACGGGAAGTGTATCGGTACAAAGCGGTGGCGATTCTTGTTGATGCATTCCGCCACATCAGTGCATACCTGGAGTCTTGTCAGGAATTTGGACATGCTGGGGGTAGATTAAGCAGCACAAAGTCGTTTCACGTGTTGTTTTTCCTTTCGCATTTTCACTCGGACCACTACAACGGCATCACTTCTGGGTGGCGACATGGAACTATCTATGCGAGCCGCGCCACAGCGAATATTTTGTGCTGGCGTCTAGGGGTTCGTGAGACAAGTGTAAAGAAAATGGATTTTGGTCTTATTTATGTCTTCTCATTGGAAAACGGGGAGCTGCTCTATGAAGAGGCGGGGTGTGAGGAGGGAAAATGTTGTCGTGATGGGTGTTTTTCCGTCACGATGATACCAGCCAATCACTGTCCGGGCGCCGTAATGTTTCTCTTCCAATCCCCCGCTTTCGGCACCATCCTCCATACCGGTGACTTTCGGTTTAGCAGCGGGCGCTCCTCTTCAACGCTGCAGCGGCTGCCGTCGCCTGTTGTGCCGTCTCTTCCGTGCCCGCTTTGGAACTTGGATATCACTAACAATCCCTTGTTAGGGTCTGTTGCGGGCAAAGTGGACACCCTCTTTCTTGACAACACGTTTTGCGATCCCCGCTTCATTTTTCCCTCTCATGTAGATGTTCTGCGGGAGGTGAATATGGCGGTGTTGTCGATGTTCTGCGAGCGCACAACGGCACTTCAGAGTTGTAGTGGTGGTAGCGAGACCCTAGCGCATAAAAGTAAGTCGGTAGGGAACACTATTTCTCTGGCTGTCATGATTGGGGCGTACTTCATTGGAAAAGAACGCATCGCTCTTTCCCTGCAGGAGACTTTTCTGCCGGACTGCGACAAGGATGATGAGGCACTCCGCTTTGTTCCGACATATGTGTCCCCGGAGAAGTACGAGTCGCTCCGGCAGTTAGAATATTTTTCCGAGCGCTTCGTACCTCTTCCCCAAAATTCTTCTTCGGTTAGTAGTGGTGGTGGTAATGATGAAGATAATGACGGCGTGTCGACCGTTCTCAGTGGGTTCACAAAGCACAAAGTGAGGCTCCCACAAGAATCTTCACCGGCTTCGCCCAACGTGGCACGAGATCTTTTTTCTTCTTTTTCGGAGAACTTCATGGAGGATTCTTGGGAGAGGCTGCGTTATTGTCTCACTCTCTTCATGGTCCCACTCACCTCTGTAACATACCCAACGCTTGCTGCCGTGTGTGGCGTGCAGCACCCCAAACGGCGGCGTGGCGAACAAACTGTAGAGGATGTTCCAAGTGCTGCAAGCCACAACGGAAGGGCGCTTCCGCTTTGGGGTAGCACAGCGATCGACCTCAAGCAGTTTGATGGTGTCCTCTGCGTGGAGCCAACGGGGTGGACAAAAAAGGTAAGCACTCACCGGATCAACAAACTTGTCACGCTACTCCGCGTGCCGTACAGCGAGCACAGTAGTTTCAATGAGCTGGTGGATTTTGTAGGGTTCGTGAATCCTAGTCAGGTCGTGCCGACGGTATCCCCGGAGCTCTACAAGAAGTACGAGAGTCTTTTTGCTGAGAGGGCACCGCGGCTACGCCAGCGCTACTCCAATGTGCAGCCCCTTTCTCGCTTCCTGTTGCCTAAGTCAACACCAGTAACGGAAGTGAGAATCAATGGTACTTTAAACGACACGCCAGGAACTGGCGCGGAGGCGCGAAAGCAACGAAACCCATTTACGATGGCAATTACGGCTACGGATGTGACCTGCATAGATGGGGTGGGAGGAGATGATGATGATGATGTGTGTACTGTGGACACGCCCTCTGTCCAAGTAGGCGATGTGGTGAATATGCAACAGAACAAACAGGAGGACAGGTATTGTGCGGGATTCCGACATAGACGATACGACAGTACGATTAAAGTAGAACATCCAAAGAGTTGTATGACAGGTCGTTTGGAATGCGCCAAACAAGACATCGAGGACCTGAGTTATTCACTCAACAATCGGCAGACTAATACACAATCATCTATCCTTCGTTGGGCCCAGTCGAGTGGCAAGGCGGATTCTGAGGAAGATGATGACGACTGTGTTCTCGTCGAATCAAAGCCATCCTTCATTGAAATCAGTGACACTTCTGACTGAGACAGTGAAAAGAGGGTATTGGTTGGCGCAGATAAAAATAACGTGCAGTCGATGCAAAGTCTGCCAACACATAAAGTGTGGGGAACGTTGTTTGTGTCACATTATTGATACCTTGTCGAAGAGCTCCAAGGGGAGGAAGCAGCGCTATTCCGGGGAGAGTGGCAGGCTCTCCTACGCGTTGCACTGTTTCATTCAAGATGCACCCGATGTTTCAACGCCGCATAGTGCAATATGTGCGCGTTCAGTGCATGGTGGATCTGGGGATAGAGACAACAGAGCGGTAATCCTTGTGGGGATGACTGATTGGTTGAAAGTCCAAGCCGTACGTAACGACTTGTTGGCAGAGGCCCATGTGTTCTCTGGTGCTCTTCCTCGTTATCTATCAACCCCCCTCAACATAAAGCATAGGATTGTGAATGTCTCATAACTCTTCGTTCGCGCAGCTGCAAAACCCTGATGCGGACGGACAACGCTGAACGTTTAACCAAACTATGGTCGTCTCTCATTGCCTCTGCCAATGAAACCCATGCCATATTGCTAGAGGACATGTCCTCAGAAAATCGAGTGGCTCTTCACAAACACGTGATTCAGGCAATAAAGCACTGCTCGGAAGAGGCCAACGTCATGCTAATAGACCCTGGTGTCTGTATACCCATAAATAACGCGCCGCCAGTGCAGTGCCCCGTCGACGCGCCTAAACTGTCCTGCTCTTTGCGCAATAATACCCTATTATTGGTGAGTGTTTCACCTATTGAGTACGCGGATTATGTGGCAGACAGCAACTTCTGCTCCGTCGAACGCGCATTGCAACTGAAGTGGGTGGGTGCAAATTGTCCATCTCACGCGCAACCCTTCTTGCTCCCGTTTGTGTGTAGGGAAAGGTCCTGGGTGCACGTTGAGTCCACAAAGGGAGTCCGCTTCACAACTGCCGCTTTGCTTGGTCTAATGACAAAACTCCTTCGCGCGGTGACGACGAAAAGGCCTTGTGTCGGTTTAGTTATTGTTCAGAGACACAAAATTAATTTCCTGCGCGAGAAACTTATGCGAATAAACCCTGCCTTTTCTGTCGAATATGTGGATGCTCTGTGGACTGCATCTTGTGTATCTTCAATGCAGAAACTTATTCTCTGTGAAGTGGGGGATGCTTCACGTGTGCTCGCCGCGCTTCCTGAGGGGCACGTTAACCACCTTGTTGTGGGGGGTGTACATTTGATTGATGCTAGTCTGTGGAGAAATCCGGCTTTACGGGGGATAACGGACATGGTGTCCTCTGGCGAAGCAGTGACGCCGCCTTTGTCATCTCCACGTGATGACGACGTGACGGTTCACATTACCTGCCATGTACGTGAGTGGAAGATACGCCATGTGGAAGGGACCATTGAGGCAGATGTCAAAGCATACATCGATGAGAAGGGGTTTTCCGGGAAGGTATTGGTCTGCGCACCGGACAACGTCCTTGTAGAGAGGCGGTCGTCGATGTGTCTCATCATGCAGGTTAACCGAATTGGGCTCATCCCTCCGGGGCATGAGTGTGTGATGCTGTGTGATCCTCCACTGACGCCGCAGGAGCTGGCACGGCTTCCGAAGCTGCTAGATGATATAGTCACCAACGAAGTTGTTGTTTTTTTGCGCCCGGAATATTGTTTTCGGTATGCTCTCATGTCTGCAATTTATTCCATTTGCGATGGTCCGACAAGCTAATGGACGTTGAGGCATGCAATCCGCATATATGTTTTTGTGTATCTGTTTGGGGTTTTGTTCGCTAACTTTCTTTTTGTTGAATGTAAGTGGTCTTGTGGTGAGGTGCTGAAGTGGGCTGTGATGTGAGGAGTCGATTCTCTCTCTAGCTGTTTTTTTTTTTTTTGCTTGGTGGGTTCTGTCTCACGATCGCACATGTATACGCGCAAATAATATATTTTTTATTTGGGTCATGGTTTTTTTTTTCTGTCTTTCGTTCCTCTTCGCTCTTTCTTTTTTTGTTTTTGTTTGGCTCTCTCTGTGTGCTATGTGCCCAGCCAATGAAGCGGTTCGCCGTGCTCGGTGTGCCTGTTTCTCCTTGCTGCAGCCAGCAGTTGCTGCACGCCACTGCCCGCACTAACATTATTGTGCCGCGGCGCTGCAAGGCAACGTTTCTCCGCGTCGCCAACCGCAAGCGTGTGGAGATGTTCGTTGGGAAGCGATTCCATCTGCCAACGCGGCTAAAAACGGCCGCCCCAGAGATCGCGATGGAGTGGGACCACGACAAGAACCCAATGCACCTCTATCCTGAGATCATCGGCATCGGCCATGTGTCGCCTGTCTGGTGGAAATGTGCCGCATGCCAGCACTCCTACTCGATGAGTGTCGAGAAACGCGTTGTGCGGGGTGGTGGGTGTCCTGTTTGCACTGCAGCTGCAAAGAATGCCGCTGCACCGACGGAAGGCACCCTTGAGGGCGAAGCTGCCAGGGAGCTTCGTCCAAAAAGGTCGGTAATGTTCAACATGCGAACAAAGTATTGACAGAACATGAAGGCCGGGTGGTTGTATACCCTCATTCACACACACACATACACAAAGCAATTTTTGGACATTTTTTTGTACTTGCGCTTCTGTTGGTTTTGCTTCTGTTTCATTCCACTATCCTCTACCTGCGCATTCTACTTTGCTTTCTCTTTACTCTACATATATATATATATATATATATATACCCTTTACATTACCGGAAGTGGTAGTCTCCTTTCTGTTGCTTTTACCCCTTAGCATTCTCTGCTCATATGAGAAATGCTGCGATACCAAGTCGCAGACATCCAGTCCGATGACCAAACGTGCGAAGCGCTGGGTGACCGTCCCGTGAGGTTGGTCGTCGGCCGAGTGCAGCTGCTTCGGCGGCTTGGATTCAAGCGTGAGTTCTTCGTCCCGTTTATCCCAACAAAGTGTATCCTCCTCCTATTCCAAACTTGCAACCCACTCAACGGACTTGCTCTTACAGAAGAGGCTTTAGGCATCGTCACCAGGTATCTTGAGTGGTTGACCAACAAGAGAGGTCAGTTAATGAATGTTCTGGAGTTGCTCGTTTGCACACTGTCCGGCTGCGTTCTTGTGATAATTGAGTGCGCCGATGTGCTAAGCGCATTGGAAGTGCACTCCTTGACGCAGGAGGACACTGCACCATCTGTTGGAAACCGACGTGTGTTCTCTTTTCCTTGCGACAAGGATCCAATCCCAGAGGAAGAATTTGATAATCTGTATATTGTTCCAACGTGTACAATATGTGCCGAGCGGCTTGAACCGACACTGACCGGTTACACCTCCCGCACGTGCCGCTGTGCCACAAGCAAAGATTGTGCGTGTTTCCTTGAACAATCTTCCTGCACAGTTTGTCAAACGCTAATCAAAATGCAACGTGAGAGCAATGGTGTTCAGTGCGAGGTGTGTAAGGTGTCAGGTGACCCTTGGATTTGTTTGGTGTGCGGCTTTGTTGGCTGCAGTCGCTATCAAGCCATGCATGCAAGAGAACATTTCTTGCAGAAACGGCACCTGTTTTCTATGAGTCTCCTAACACAGCAGATATGGGACTACGACAGCGATGCCTTTGTTCACCGCATTGTTGTTGTGTTTGATAATGTCACTGGGGTGACCCATCGCGTGCAATACCCCGACAGAGATAACATGCCAACATCTCTCGAAGATGACACGGGTGACCTCGTTACTGAAACGGCAAAAAAGAAACATATTAACGCAAAGTACGACTCGAAGGTAGAGATGTCTAATGAGCAGTTAGCGCTGATGATCAAAAATGAACTGGACACTCGACGTGCAGAGTATGAGAGTGAACGGCAGCAGCAGCGTTTGTTGCTCGACCAAGTGACGGGACAAAATGTAAACGACTCAGATGTTTACAACATTATGGGCAGTGAAGCAATGTATGGTACTAATCGCCAACGCTGGATCTCTGTATTTCTTGCCAACCAAAGCCTCGAGGATGAACTACAGCAGCGAAGACACGAGGAATCTATGCTCTTGGAGTCAGCTCAAAAGTATAATGATGAGTTGCGTTATGTGATAAGATTCCACGCGATGCAGGACGGTCGCCTTACGGCGGATATTGCTGATCTGAAAGAGACTATAAAGGAGGTAGAAACAAACCTCCGCATGCGTCAACGAATCGCTGAGCAGTTGGGTGAGGATGGGTGCGAACGCGTCTATGTGGTGGGAAGCAGCACGCGTAAGGCTTCTACTAAACCGAAGAGACAGCCGCCCAAGGCTCCGAAATAAGTGCTCCCCCGTACGTACCATATCCAAATCCACCGTCATCTCCTCTCACCTTTTCATTTCTCAGTATCTTTGAAGGTGAAAAGGTGAGCAAATGGGGAGAACCAGAAGCCATGTCTATGCAGATGTACTAATGACATTCGTTTTCATTCTTTTTTTTTTTCAATTTATTTCATTCCTCCTTTGTTCTATCTGTTTTTTGTTGTTGTCTTGTTTGCAAAGCTCATCGAAGTGGGGGGCAGAGGTAAAAGTGCAGTCTGCGAATGCTACATGCAGTGTCACTCGTCATCTGAGAGTACGAAGGGCGAACCTGACGTGGTGTATCTGCTGCAGTGTGTGAAGAATGCTGTTCGCCGCGACTACAAGTCTTACCACGCCTTCGAAGTGGCGTGCGTGGATGTGGTTACCCTGTGGGCTGCTGCTGGGAACGACGATACGGCGCTGAACCACGACGCGCGACGGGAGCTTGTGTCGGTGTGGCCAACGTTTCTCACGGGGAGTGCCGTGTATGTGGCGAAGGGGTCGCCGCTGTCGTCTTCGCGTCCGCTTCTTGAGGCGATTGTGGCGTCCGCTGATGCTACGACAGGGGAAGATATGTCAGTTTCTGCTGCAAATACCTCATGTGTAGAGGAAGTTGTGCGTCTGCTCGTCTCGCACGTGCGTCAGCGGACCGCAACTCTCTCGTCCTTGATCCCGCCACTGGACGTGCTGCAGCAAGTTATCGGTATCATTGAAATTATTCAAGAGTACCACCTCGTTAGCGGTGATGACGCCGCAACATCCGCCGCTAAGAAACTTGGGGAGGTCTACAACGCCTTGGTGGAACGCTATATTGCATTGTTCGTAGAGGAAGTTGCGTTTCCCAGCTACTGGAACGTGAGCCGGCAGTCATCCTCTTTGTGTGTGCTTATCAACGGGGTGCACCCCGCCATCTACTTTTGCTTCACCACGTTGGTGAATCTTGTGCAGGGGTGGAAGCGTCGGATGTATATGACAGACGACAGACCCTGTCGTCAGATTGTTGCGCGCGTGTGGGAGAGGGGCGCTGCAGCGATCACCCTTCTCGCAGAGGAAAACGAGCTTAGTGACACGCGGAAGAAGCAGATCCAATCGGACGCTTTGCATTTTGTTCTGTTTGCTCGTATGTTTCGTAGTTTTGTTGGCGAATATTTCTTTTGTTCCGTTTCGGCGGCTCTCGTGAGACTTCTTGAGGCGGTGGTGAAGTGCGTCCACGGTGGAAGAGCCACAGTCATGTCGCCACATGGCCTTGCCGCTTTCGAGAAGGAGATTTGGAATGTACCGCCGATTGAGGCATCAGAGTGGACGCCGTGCGTTGCCAATGCCGCCGCCGCCACAACCACCAGCTGTAGTGGTAGTAGTGGAAGCAGCAGCAACGGCGCTTTCACGCCATGGAGCAGTGAGTTTATTCGCCAAACTCATGTGAAGGCCGCGCAAATACCGCCTGATGGTTGGGAGCATTTCCCATTTCGGCTGTTGATCTGATTGCCGGAGAAAATGAACGGTGTAATTATCCACTTATCGATGCCGTGTGGCATTTTGACGTGCAATTCTGAAAGCCTCAGCAGCGTTGTTTTGTTTCTGCTTTCCTTTCATGTTTCTTTCTTTTTGTTCGCATCCTCTCTGTGTGTCTATTTCTTTCTCTTTCTCTATATGTGTGTATGTGTATCATGAAGCAATGCCGCGGCCGTTTTACCGTCGCGTCTGTATTCACGGTGCGACGCCCCGATTCGGCGATGCCGTGCAGAAGCTGGCAGAGGCGGTGCTCTGGCTGGAGCGCGCACCGGCGTCTGTTGAGCTGTCTATTCGCTTTGCTCAGCCGTCGCAGATGCAGGCGCTGAACCACGAGCACCGCGGCATAGACCGCCCGACGGATGTGCTCACGTTCCCTGGCAGTGGCAGCGGCACACCTGAAGTCTGTTGGTCGAACGAACTCATCCTCTCTCATCCACATAATGATCCAGATGCAGATGAATGGAGTGCATTTGAAAGTTCACTGCGGCAGCAGCGTGCAATGCTGCTGGACCTAGGTGACATTTACTTTAGTGTCGAGTACGTCTGGCTCCGCTGCCTTCGCCGCCCTGAAAGGAACTTGCGATTCCACGATTACCTACAGGCGGCGTTGACCCACGCAATGCTACATGCCTTGGGGTACAACCACGACACCCCAGAGAGCTGGCGGAAGATGTCGAGGCGGGAGAAGTTTCTGGCACAGCAGCTGGTTACATGGCAGCGCCGTTGGCCGGGCTGCCTGACGGAGTTGGATGGCATCGAGTTTCTCACCTCGGCCAGACCCTGAGGAATACAGAGAGAGGTGTGTGGGTGCTCTCTCTCCTTCCCTTGTTCACAGTTTCCGTGGGTTAGATGGTATAGCCGGCGGAATTAAAGTCCAGGAGAATGTGTTGTTGTTGTTGTTGTTGTTTTTTGAAGAGGAAGAATATGAACTCTTTGTTGGCCTTGTTGGATTCCTCTGTTCATTAATGTTTTTTTTTTCTTCTTTCTTGCCCGTTGCCTTGGTTGCATTAAAGGTTTATGACGCTGCTGCATAACCCGCAGTGTTCTTCGCAAACCGCNTTCACAGTTTCCGTGGGTTAGATGGGATAGCCGGCGGAATTAAAGTCCAGGAGAATGTGTTGTTGTTGTTGTTGTTGTTGTTTGAAGAGGAAGAATATGAACTCTTTGTTGGCCTTGTTGGATTCCTCTGTTCATTAATGTTTTTTTTTCTTCTTTCTTGCCCGTTGCCTTGGTTGCATTAAAGGTTTATGACGCTGCTGCATAACCCGCAGTGTTCTTCGCAAACCGCGGTGCCTCCGCTCGAGGTGGCGCCACCGCCGGGCTGCAAAGCGCTGCGCTTCACAGCACCGCGCCGGCGTCCCATGTTCAACAAGCGGCTCTCGGACGCACAGAAGAGGCGTTGCCCTGAGATTAAGCTGAGGCAACCATTCACTGGCCTGCCACCGCCGCTGCCGAAACGTGCCGCTGACGTCATGGAAAGGGTGCAGACACTGGAACTTTGCACGCTCATAGATGACGAGGCGGCCCGGCTGACCTCACCTGACGCTCCGCATTGTCACATCATCGATGAGGTGATGGATGCTCTCTTTGAAAACTTCTGCACGGCACCGCAGCGGTGCGCATGGAATACACCTGCCCCACGCCCAGAGTGGAAGGATGAGTTTCGACTCAAGAGCGAGTGGTGGGTCTCTATGCGCATCTTACCTTGCACCGTGANATACACCTGCCCCACGCCCAGAGTGGAAGGATGAGTTTCGACTCAAGAGCGAGTGGTGGGTCTCTATGCGCATCTTACCTTGCACAGTGAAGCCCAAGGAACATTACCCGCCCTTCATCCCATGGGGCATGAGGAGCATGCAGACAGAGAATCAGTTTATCGCGGATATTGCCCTTCACATGAGACAAAAGGCGGCCGTGTTCTCCCTTGTGCATCTCTCTCACGTCACACTTACCCCGGAACGTGCAAATGTCTTGCTCTTTGATGGCATTCTGCGCAATGAGGCCCGTGCCTTGGAATGTCTTTCAGTTCCATTTTGTGAAGTTGGTGCGGCCACGCTCCTCTTGTTGCTTTGTGGTCTCAATCAGTGTCGCGCCCTTCAGCCTCAGCTACGTTATTTGAACCTCTCGTGGAACTGGATCGACGCATCGTGCTCGCACATGTTAGCGATGCTGCTGGGGCGCACATCCGTACGAAGATTGAGCTTGCACGGCAATCGGTTTGGTGGTGGCGATGCAATAACCTTCCAGGAGTTTCTCCTTCAAGGTTGCGCACACTTGGAAGAGTTGGATCTTAGTTACACCTCCTTGACACGAGCAGAGGTGTGTGCCCTTATTAGGTGCCTCCCGCAGCTTCGAAATCTCGAGGTGCTCCTCCTCGATGGTGTTCAGGTACCGGAGAGCAAAGCGGTTGCATTATCCTCCGCCATAAGACAATCAAAGCTTACGTACGTCTCACTCAAAGGGATTCTCGCGTGCTCAGGCGAAGCTTATCTTCAGCGCATTCGCGTAGCCTGTCACCGTAACCTTGTGTCCCGAAATGTGCAGAAGGACAAGAGCACAATGCGGCACTTGGCAGAGTCATTGAGTTTTTTTGAGGCCTTTGAACGCAGAGCGTGCAATTGGGTTGGCGATGACGCCAGCGCTCTTCCCCCGTCGTATCGCCCATTTACCACAAATGAACCGTCTCTACCGCCAATTGATGAATACGCCTAAATCTGGGTTGGGGAAAGCAGGATGTAAAAGAAAAAAAAAGTAGCAACGAGTGTTTTGCGTTCCGATCTATGTGCACGTATTGATCTTGCTGATTTGTTTTGTATCTTTAATGTAGTGGGGAGGGGAACAGAAGGGTGGAGAACGCGTTCTTGTGGTTGCTCCTGTCAACGATGTATCTCCTTTTTTTTTCACGCTTTCTGCTGCATGGAAGTATGCACGTTGCTCACCGCACACTATATCGAGAGAAGTGCACCTTTTTCTCTGTACATCGCCATCATTGAGAACAGGCTGTAAGCCAAAGAGATACGGGCTCAATAATGCTCCGCCGTACATTGTGGCTGCAGTCGACTCCGACGACGACGACGACGCATACCAACGCGCAGCAAAAAGTTCTCGAGATTAACTCCGCATACTCTCTACTGCGGATGTGTTATCGTTCCATCGACATTCGAGTGAAGTCACGTCATGCGCGTCAATTTCTCCATAGGCGACTGATGGAGCAGTGGCGTGAGCACTCTCAGGAGACCAACCCCGAGAAGCAGCGCTTTCTTATGGACCACGCGGGCGCGTTTCTGCAGGCTCTTCACTCACCACGGAACCCGAAGCCTGGCGAGGTCATCACCTTCCAGCTCTCGCGCAGGCAGGCCTATGAAGAGGCGCTGAAGGCGAAGGCGGAGCGCGCCAAGACAGTACACAAGCTGCCCGCTGGTGCGAAGCTGAATTAGCAGGCCTTGGGCGGCACGCTTGAAGTCTTGCATATGGGCACGAATACCCTGTGCGTGCGTGTGTGTGTGTGTAACTGTTTATTGTATGTTTTCTCTTGTATTTATTTTTTCTCATCTTTCATTCTTTCTTATTTTCTTCTCGGTGGTAGTTAGTTGTTGTTTGTTGTTGTTTTTTTCGCTGTCGGTTGGTGGATTCAACCCCCCCACCACCACCACCACCACCACCACTACAAGGAGAGAGCCCCTTAAGATTGTCTCTTTGTATGCGTTCGGGCACCGTCACGGTGTTGTCCGCGATAGCAACAACAACTTTTGCCGTGTCCTGTGGGCTTCGTATCCTGTGGTGTGGGCTCTCAAGCCCGCCCGGCATCCCAAGCCCGCCCATCCCGCCGCACGATGGCGATGGTGTTGTTAACCGTTACATCAAGCGTTTCTTCCTGCAGCACTTGTATGTGTTGCGCAAGGGGGAATCGCTGTTCCGCCTCCTAGAGTGGGCACGTCTCTTCCACCACAAGCCCTTTGCAACGCGCATCTTCTTCCGCAGCCACATTGTCATCTCGAGCGCAGCAGACCTGGAGGAGGTGCTACTGCGGCAGGAAGATAGTTTCTGCAAGCGCACTGGATACGATCTACTGCGCCTCATCATTGGTGACGGTCTCCTGGCCATGGGAGGTAAGAAGAAGCATGCGGTGCATCGTCGCATATTTTCGGAAGTGTTTCATTCGGCGAACATCAAGGGTCTTGCCAACGAGGTTATGCGCTTGCATGTGCTTCGCCTGCTTGGCACCTTCTTTGAGCTCGTCCTCCGCGCCGGCGATGGTGTCGTGACGATAAACATTGGCGACTACACGCGCCGCATGGCTCTCAGTATCGTTGGTGATGCAGCGTTCCGTGCCTCGAGAGAGGACTCTGAAGCGGCGCTTGAGGCCTTTGCTACCCTTTCAAAATACGAAAATATGAGTTTCTTCTGCCCGTATTACCGAACACGTCCTCAAAAGGAAGCGGAAAAGGTTCTGATGGACTTAAGCAATGCACTTTTGCAGAATGCCAATGATGGTATTTGCTCACAGCGACGAGTAGTTTTGGATGCGCTGATAGATCAGTTCTATGTACAATTTAATAGAAATGATGTTGTGAATCACCTGATTACATTCCTTTTCGCAGGGCATGACACAACTAGCAATACACTGCACTTCCTCTTTGCCCTTGTTGCGCGCGATGCGAGAGTCCAGCAGCGGCTCTACGATGAGTTGGAGATGATCATGCCGGGCCTCTGTACGTGCCCCACCGTAGAGGAGCTGCTGGAGTGCGAGTACCTCGTTGCCGTTGTGCGTGAAGTGATGCGCCTCTTTCCTGCTGCCCCCCTCATTTATCGTGATGCGGAGAAGGATGTCATTCTCCCCGCTTCGGGTGTGATGGTGCCGAAGGGAAGCGTCTGCATGCTGAGCATATTCAGTGTGCACCGCTGCGAAGAGATATACGGCAAAGACGTTGACGAATTCCGGCCGGAGCGTTGGCTCGGTGAGGAGGGGCGGGCGCTGCGCGATCGGTGCGGGCTGTGCGGCTACCTTCCCTTCAGCACCGGGCGCCGCAACTGCATCGGCAAGGAGTACGCCCACTACGAGGTGCTTCTCACGGCGGCGGTGGTGCTGCGCCACCTACGCCTCGAGGCAATCGGCCCGTTTCCGCGGGCGCGTTTTTGGTTCACGATTTCTTCGCCGGACCCGTGCCGTGTGAAGCTCATTCGACGGGAGTGCATTTCGTGCACATGCATGGCGAAGAACGTGCGCAGGCTGCAGGGGTATGGCACGGCCGAAGTGCCCGCGTCAATTTGCAGTGATGCGGTGGGGCATGCTCTGGAGTAAGAACCAACGAGGCGGCAATACAAACAGACGAAGAATAGAAACGGAATGATCGCTCTAAAACAAAAGAAACCGAAACATCTGAGCAAATAAAGGAAGAATCGAGAGACGGGAAGAAACTCGCAAATCTTTGGCTCTCTGATGTGCTTGACAGGGGCAATTAAAAAAAAAAAACGTGTAGTTTTTCGTTGATTTCGTGGGGGGGGAAGAGGGTGTAGTATGCTTTGTTCTTCCTGAAGGCATCCATCATTCCATCTGAGCCGTTTGGTCACATATTTCTTCTTATTGGGTCGCTTTGGTTTTTATTGCATGTCTTGTGTTTGGTCCCCGCTGCTTCTGGGGGGCGGTAGGCGTGGGCTCTTTGGGCACTGAGCATTGTGCGTTTCCGAAGCTACTGATGTTTTGTGCTCAGATAAACAACTGCACCAGACTCTTTCCTTTTTCTTTTCTTCTGAGTGTGTGGGCCCTACTAACTCCCTCTCCCCTCCTTTTTTTTTTAACTTCGTTTTCGTTTTTTTTTTGTTTTTTTGCTGTCTGCTTTCTCATACCGTTTTCATGTATTTTTCTTTGTTATGTGAAAAGATGGAAAGCAGAAAACACATCACGCCGGGCTGCAGGAGTGCGGAGGTCAAGTGTATCTGTGTGTTGTGCTAATGTGCAGAGGTGTGTGGGACGCGCTGGCGTCGGAAGGGCTGCGGTGGCTCCGCTACAGAGCACCGTATGTGACCATGCTGCCATAAAGTGGCAAATGCCCTCGGGCGCGCAAAATGTGAGTAACGCGCGCAAAGGCGCATGGGATGAGGATATGCCATTGTCTGTTATATTGTGTGGGCTACATCGTTTTACTTCGCGACTGCTTGATTGTTTTTTGTTTTGCTTTTCTTTAAAGTTGTGTGCATTACGCCAGAGGCACACCCTTGCAAAACCATATTTCACGCTATTGCCGTTTTTCTACCACTTTCTCGTTGTTGTTGTTGTTGTTTTATTGTCCTTTGCGGGAAACCACAAGCAAAGTCTGTGCCTCTGGTGGCATTGGCGGTCTCTCTCTGGAAATGGCAGAGAGAGTGGCAGGTAAGCCTCTGCGCGGCGTCGCACATTTCCCTCCCACTGGGACACCGCGAGCACGCGCCGCCACTGGTATCGCTGCGGTGGGAACTGCTGCTGCAGCGGCAGCCAATACGACGTATGGTGTGGTGGCTACAGCAACTCTGCGCGCCTCGAATCATTGCGAGGGGGAGCTAACAGTCATGACGGTGGAAACGGACGCATCACCAATGATTGTTGGGCGGCGCACTTTCGCTTTCAGCACGGAGCCTCTGCATGGCATTCTCAAAGTGGCCTGGGCTGGTATCGTGGCTGTGGCACTAATGAGCTCGTCGGGCGAAGTGTTGTGCATGCCATCTGGACTGCGTGAGAGCGATGATGATGATGATGGTGATTACAGCGACAGCAGCTGTGGTGACACGGATGAAGACAGGGACAACTTGTGTCTGCGTGCTGCAGCCCACGCTGTTGACATGTGTGCCCTGAAGGTCGGCGGTTGCCCTGTCGTTGTGACCGCCGGTCACCAGCGGACGTACAGCTACGCATTCCCAACTGCACGCATCTCTGCTGGGACACACCATGAGCCGCGTGACTTATGCATTGGCTCATTCTATGCTATTGCCGGTGTTGCGTGCAGCAGCAGCTCACCTGCACTTCTCGTCGGTTGTAGATTGGGGAGCGTTGATGTATTCGAATGGGTGTCCCTCACGGAGAGTCCTGTTGCTCTGCGCTCTATTCTCACAGATCCGTCGACGCGCTATGTGGGCATCGCTGCCAGCCCCTCCTGCTGCTGCGGGGCTGTGCGAAAAATTACCCTATGTGTCTTTGGCGAAATGGTGTCGAGCGCAGAGATGGACGCTGCTGGTGATTTGCGGCGCTCGGATGGTGTACCGTTTGAAGTTGCAACGACTGCCGATTCCCACATAACGCATACTCCGTCGTGGAATGACGTCTGTCGTGACGCGTCGTGTCGGCCGCAAGCCTACGGACCGTCACTATTGGTACTTCAGCCGCAACTTTGCCCGGGAGCTTCCGCTCTACACTCCCTTGTTATTACTGTTGTTCAAGCTGATTCGTGTGCGACCGCTGCGTCCGTTTCTGGGTCAGACTGTGATGGGAGAAAAGTCTCATTTGTGGATGTCAGCGTAGTGGAGGCGACATCTCCGGAGTGTGAGCGCGCATTATCCAGACTTTCTGGAGCGGTCAATGTGCTTCCTATGCTGCGGTGTGTGACACCTGGTGGTTGCCATGAGTTTGGTGAGTTGTGCCTCTGTGATGAAAAGTATGCTGTCTTCTTTGGGTGCGCCGATACAAGAAAGCTGGAGCCACGCAGTGTTATTCATCTTGATCGTGCAGACGATCGATTGGTGGGTATGATGTGGCTTCCTCATGCCCAGAACGTGATGCTGCTCTCTGGCAGCCTTATTAGCTCTGACGACGTGTCCCTCGGGGACCATGTCAAGGGAGTAAAGGTGGAGAACCCTGTATGTGTTGTTGGCGACCTCGTTCTCTCTCATATAAAGCCGCTGCCGTGGGTGGAGAAAAGTGCCGCTGCTGGCGAAGTGACACTGGCGCAGGTGGAGGAGGTGGTGCGTGCTGTTGTGCAGGAAGAAAGCAAGAAGACTTTGGCCCTGGTGGAGGAGCGCCTGGGTGCATTGGAACGCATCATACGTGAGGTGCTGTGCGAGGTGAAGAGGGGATCAACGAAGGGAAGCGTGTAACAAAACGGTACAAAGGAATATGTGCCGGGGTCCGTTTTCTATTCCTTCCTTATTTTCATTCGTTTTATTTTATTTTCCTGCACCAATGGACGATCTGTGACGGTAATGTGGCGGAATGATTCGTTTTTTTTTTCTTTTGGTCTTGTAAAGACGTGGGCGGAGGAACCGATCGTTGCACCTTCATGGCAGCATCCCTCTCGCCCAGGAAGGTGGATGAAGCCTTGCTACTCGCTTCAGAGGCACGGGATTTGCTTCTGCGTTACGGCCACAGCAGAAAAGCGAGTGTGACCTCGCTCGTTCGCATTCAAGAAACACTGCGAGCCATACTCCAGTGTACATCGCTTATGCAAGCATACGATACAACACCGTACCACTGCGGCATCTACAATCACGTGTCGCGAACGTTTCTTAGTGTGCTTGATCTACAGCTCGAAGACAGTCCTTCTAGCGGTCCGGTAAGGTGCAGTCAAGACGCAACTGAAGTCCTCACATGTAGTGTTCCTTGCACCATCGTGGGTAGCGACGGTGAAGGGGTGGGTGATGCTGAGCTACCGCCGCCTGATGGTGGCAGCATCACCACCAGCACCAGCAGCGTGAGGTGGGCTGACATTGTGGGATGCGAGGATGCCATTGCAGCGCTGAAGCAGGCAACAATTTTGCCGTTGCAATTCCCACACCTTTTTCAAGGGCCGCGGCGGTTTTCCCGACGGATTTTGTTGTACGGCCCGCCTGGTACAGGCAAGACGCTCCTTGCTGCAGCGGCAGCAACAGGATACGGGGCACCGCTTCTCACCATTTCGTCGGCGGACATTCTCAGCAAGTGGATTGGGGAATCTGAGCGGCAGGTGCGGCGTGTTTTCGACGCAGCCACCCGGCCTCCCCGTTGTATTCTCTTCCTTGACGAAGTGGACGCCATCTGCAGCGTCCGCGGTGCCGCGGGTGAGAGTGAAGCCTCACGACGTGTCAAGACGGAGTTACTGCTCCGAATGCAGAGCCTGAACTCCGATCGCATCACAATCATTGCGGCAACAAACATGCCGTGGGAACTGGACTCTGCATTCCGTCGGCGCTTTGATCATCTCATCTTTGTAGGACTTCCGTCGCCCTCTGCGCGTCGACAACTCTTTGCGTTAGAGCTGCAGCATGTGTCACACACTCTTAGCGACGAAGACGTTGAGTGGCTTGTCAATAGCACAGAGGGCTACTCGGCGTCTGACATTCGGCATGTTGCACAGCACGCTGCAATGGAGCCCGTCCACCAGATCACCCAGACGGAGTACGTCAAACCCGTACCGGCAGCGGGAGTAGCAGCGACAGAACGCACAGATGGCATCTGTTACATTTCTTGCTCAGAGGCGGATGAGAATGCGCTCCCGCTTCATAGCATTCCTGCTGCGGAGCTTCACGTGCCAAAAGTTTGCCGTCGTGATTTCGAGACCGCGCTTCGTGGGTTTCCCCCAACGGTTTCAAATGAAGAGATGCTGAAGTTCACGCACTGGCGCAGTCGTGAGGGTCGGTCTGTCGCATGACACATCCTCTACGCAAGTGCACGCCGCCTTTCTTCTAATGCTCCCTCAACTCTTCCGTTCTTCACATTTGAATAGCCGTCGTCGCTAACTCTCTGTGTACTCTTTTCGTGTGGGTTGTTGGGGGGATTTTCATATTGTTTGATAATGCTTGCTCGTTCTGCTGTTGGATACGTCGCCAATTTTGTAGCGACTCATCTACACCCATTGACTGATGCTTTTCGCTCTCTCTTTCTCTTTCTTTTTCTCTTGGCTACTCTTCTCTCAGCACAACTGTGCGCTTCCCTCGTACATCGCCTCGCCGCAGGTCTGAGGACTGAACACACAAGCAAAAGTTGCTTGCTGCGAATTGTATACCGCTCTGGTGGCTTCGAAAGTGACACGGTGCTGCGAGACGGGGGTGGGGGGCGCAGCATGCTGGCGACCAATCGAGGGAAGAAGCCGGCCGACATGCGCACGCCGAGTAAGTGCAAAACTAGTCACTCTCCTCCAAACGATGTGCAGTACTCGGTTGTCAAGGAGCACCACCGTCATAGGTGGCTGCGGCAGGAACGACTGTTAGAGATAACATTCACGCACGTGTACAATTGCAGGCCTCCACAGCGGAATGGTGCACTGCCACGTATTACAAAACAATTTCCTCTTACATCCATCACCACAATTGGTGTCAAGGGTACAAATGCATTTTGCCTTCATGTCCGAAACGATCACGCGTATTACTACTACACACCGAGGGCGATTGAGATTGCCCACAAGATTCAGCGGTATGTTGCAGCTGCAAATGCTGTGGAAGTTCTTCTTGATGCTGAAGACAAGCGGAGAAGCATTCTCATGGAGGAGTTAGTCAATGGGTCGATCCCACTTCCTGGAGCACAGTTGTGCGGTATTGGCAGTGAGTACCCGTACCGCAGTTATCGCTCAGCAAAGTTGCGGTGCGAAATCAATCGAGTGCTTCGGAAAGGCGCTTTGGGGGAAAGCACTGAACTAAATAAGTTGGCTCGCTTCTGGAGGGAAAAGAGTGCGGATGATGAAATGGACCTGTCTGAGTTGCGCAGCGCTCTGAGTAACATCGGGGAGCAATGCACCAGACATATGCTGGAACAAGCTGACTCGCCAGCGCGAGGTGTCCCCTATTCGGATGTGGCCATGTGTGTTGAAGATTCCCTTCAGCGATTTGTAATAAAGCCTAATTTTGACAAGATGATGGCCTTCCTCCGACGCGACGAAGATTTGGCGGAGAAAGAGGAGATTTTCAACAGACAGCGTGACCTCCTTCGGGGAAGATCGGCAGATGTTTTTAAAGTTCCAGAATACCTGCGTTCACTCAACTATGAGCTTGTCCTGAGCCACTTCGACCTCCTAGCGGCCCTTACAAGCCCCAATGACATTTTAGACGAACTCATCAACATTGCTGCTTGCATATGTTTAACGATTCATGTGGCTGCAGAATTCCCAGGTGTGACAAGCAAGCGCTCCAAAACAGCCCACAGGGTAAGGAGTGGCGACTGCAACGGCGTAGTAGAGCCGCATAGTGAGTCTGCGCTTAGGAGTAAAAGTACACCTGCAGATATGACAGCACTCGTGTCGCCGGTAGCAGTTGGGCCCCACCCGGCAACTCCCGCTCAGCAAGACAGCGGAGTCTTTAGAGCAATTGTGTCATACCTCCAGCGTGGGGACACGAACCTGTCATCCCTCAGTAATGCGAATAGTTCCACTACCATCGCGCTCTCGGTCGAGAAGACGTCTTACATTCAATCTAATGTACATCTCTCCCTGCCGCCAGATCGCACCCTTAGTCAAGGGGGAGAACCACGACCGCTGACAATATGCTTGGACACTTCTGTCGAGAGCAGCGACGAGGAGCTCTCTGTAACTCAGCTCAGCTCAGCCTCTGGCCGACTTGTCCATCTGGATCGTGGGGGAGTCTCAGCAGATGATATGCTTCCTCTCTTTATTCACCTGCTGTGTGAAAGTGATGTCTCTAATATTTGTTTCCTCGTTCGTTTTGTGAACCTCCTGCGTGACCCAGACGACAGTTCGGAGCGTGCCTACTACTT